CTTAAACCCTTAGAGAGTTTTTGATTGAACATTTTCCCCAGATTTGGGAGTGTTCATTAAACCCCACACACTCATCAAGCTCAAGGCAACAAGAAGAAGGAGGAGCAGAGAAATGGTGAATAAACCTTGGAAGATAATTCCAAGACCACTTCTAGAAACAGTCCTCAACAACCATGTCCAACGCCACCGTGTTCCTCAGCCACTAATCCTCCATGGTCCTCGTGGCGTCGGCAAAACCACCCTAATTCTCAATCGTATGAAATCTCTAAAATTTCCCTCTTTTTGTATCACAAGATCATAGCTTTTGATTCGTTAATTTCCGATCTCGTTTCTTTTAGGTCTTCTCGGAGACTGGAACAAAGGTCCACACATCGCTGGGTATGTAGATTTTGCGCAATCGATAACTGAACACCATCCAGATCACCATCAATCATATCCATGGACGTCTTGGAACAGTGTTGACCCACCAAAGTTGTCGAATTGCAAAACCCAGCTCGAGAATTGTCTTGAATCTATGAGTCATAAAGCTATCAAGCTTGGGAGTATAAGCTCGCAGCAGATTTTCACTACTATGAACAAATGGTACGGTCTTAATACCGCACTTCGCCGTATACTTAAAGGCTATAACTTTGCAGTCCCAGAGAAAGTCTCCATTTCGTTTCTCTGGGAACGAGCAGTTTATGCGCTATCTGTTCGACAAAATGCCGATGAGATTGATGGGTTGCTTGAATTGGATGAGAAAGGTAATAGCTTGTCTGTAGAAGAGGCTTCGTATTATAGAGAGACCGCTTTTGCGTTGAGACTGGCGAAAGAGGTGATTAAGGTGCACCAAGGTTGGAAAGCCAATGCTATTGCCCATCTTAATCGAACTAATGGGTTTTCGAGAACATTAGCAAATTCATCTACTGACTGGCCATTGCTACTGCTTGAGTTGTTGTCACAAGCTGCAGAAATCGGTTTCTTCCAGGTAATGGCTGAATCTTTGATCTCATGAGTACGAAACAGTGGCTGAATCATCTGGAGACATTTCACCAACTATCGATGTTAAGGTTCTGCTATAAGTAATGATGGATTGGTTTTGTATGTCTTTGTTTCACTTGGCAGCCTAAGCTGGTCTTAAACAACATTGAAATATTGAAGAGTGCTATTCAGACTGATGATTCAACAGTTTCAGCATCAATGTACCATGACAATCTTGTATGGAGAATAATAGCGTTAGGTGCGAATGAGCGCTGTCTACCTGTCTTATTCGTGACTTCGGATAGGTTGGTCCTGTTTTTTTTTTCCCTTTTTGGGTTTTATGAGTACAAGTTGTTACTATCTGATGATTGCTTGCTCTCCTAAGCTAGCCATTTAAGTTTCATTTCTAAACACTAGACGGGAAAGTGGTTTTGGACTTGTATATCATTTAGTTACAGAAATTCTGAACTTGACTCTTAGATATGTCTTTTCTTTTCAAACTTTTTGTTTTATCTGATGTCTGATAATATGAATCATGACAGCTACTACTCATATCAAGCCTTTGTTGACTTCGGGTTTCCAGACATTTTCATCTCTCGTGAGGTATAGAAGCTACACATATATCTCTAACTAAACTATGGATTCTGTATGCATTTGTTTGAACATGTATTGGTAATGTGGTATATAGTGTAGAGTTTCCCGATCTCGCCCTTCATTTTCAGTATAGAAAATTCTGATTCAAGAGATTATATTGACATGAGTTCAAGTTTTTTTTTTTCTGCATTCTACCATTTTTATATGTTGCATTTTGGCTTTGTTTCATTTGTAGACATTTGGATGGACTCCTCAAGAAGCTAAGTTACACATGGTTCCTGATTACTTCAGTGCTTCGGAGGTGAGAACAATGTTGTAGGTAATGGCATGCTTGTTTATGGACCCATAAATAGTGTGGCATTCTGAAACCAAACAATATAAAATTGGAACGGCTGAATGATCTTTTCAACATTTTGTTTTTTTTATCTATTTTTACTTACCTGAGTGCTGTATATAGTACTAGAGTTCTGACATAATGTTGGAATTATAGTGGACTATCATTGCTGATGTTCTTGGAGCCAATTCTCGGCATCTATTCGAGCTTTATGCGCTTAAGCAGAGTAATCATTACCAAAGGTAGTGGTTCCCTGTTCGTTTTCATTCTCTCTCATTATATCTTCTATTTTTTTCTTTTTCGCTGTTGTGGGTTTCATCATCTTCGGAAACTAAAATGGAAAATGTGAAAGAAATATTCCTATACCAGTCACCATGTAATCCATGTGGTATGCGTCAAATCCCTTTTTCTCTTTTCTCAAATGTGACCAAAGCTGCTGTGTTTCTTCAGTTTGATGGGGAACAAAGCAGGTACATTTGAAGATATTGTGGATGCATACTTGGCATATTTACAAGTAAGTTCGATTAAACTGATTTCTCGCAATTGCTCTGAAAGACTTCTTGTACGCATGAAATTGATGGTTAATTTGCTACAATATGTTATTTGTTCTTTTCTTGTATAGGTTGCTGTAGTTAATCCTGCAATGGAAAAGGCTTTGTTGCGGCTTCAACGGTATGCCACTGATGCACGAAAAGGAAACATTCCAGATGAAAAATTACGTTTTGGTGCTCCATGGAGGCATCCTCCGCGTAGCGAGGATCCTACTCACTGCTCGGAGTGGGCTAAAATACAGCTGATGGATTTTGTCCAAGCTCTTGTCAATACAGAATTCGCGGTATCTACTCTTCTAGACCCTTTAATGGACATGAAGCCAAAGTTTGTTCTTTTTTACCTTATCAGAAATCAAATCAATGATTAGCATTAATGGTTCTATAGGTCAATTATTTGGGTGACTATAGCCTTGAGATCTTTGAAGATCCTTCTGCAATGGCATTGGTTGAGGTAAAAAGTTCTTCTTTTCTTGATCGGTAGATACTATTTTCGTGATCCATTTTACTTTAAAAAGGTTGATTCTGTTCCAGGTTGGGATACTGTATACTCAACGTGATCCGTCTTTTTTCCGTCCTATATCTCAAGGCATTAAAAGATGCCTTGTTAGATGGTGAGCAACTTTTTTTGCCTTACCCCATGAATCTGCTTTTTAAATCTCTGCTCTTTTTTTCCAGTCCTCACACACGCACGTTCATGATTTGCATTACAGGCTAATTCAAGAGCGAATGCAGATGAGTTACTGGAGCTCAACCAAATATTGGTGGCAGAGAATCATTCGTGGTCGTTATTACAAGCACTTGATGCTTGGCTACAGAACATAGGTATTCTCACACAGGTACACATAACATCTTACATGCTCTGTTTCTACCTCTCTTACATCTTGTAAGAACAATATTCTTAGGTCATCGCATCACATTTGCAGTATAAGATAGCGAATTGAGGCCTGGTAGTAAAACTTCTGATTCCTGTTCATTAATGCGTTAACGTTTATGCTTCTCCACGAACGTTCAATGTTGGTGTTACTGTTACTGGTAAAGCTAATTATCCCAAGTTTCACATACCAATGCAGGTTTTGTTTTCACATGAACGCCCCAGCCAAAACATATCTTGATTCATATTGTACCGTGAAGCAGGAAACAGAAAGGACCTTATTTTTTGCCGTCAAGGTCATGAAGAAGAGACGCCGAAGGCGGAAAAAACCTCGGCCCACGAACGGTGTAAGTGGGGATACAATGCCATGAAAACGGCTTTTACTTCAGACGCTGTATATAAAGCGAATGTTTGCTGTGTTTATGTGGTAAAATTCTAAGTCAAAATACTTGAATTTATTGACTGTATTGTCTCTACCATTTTTTCAAGCCGAAAAGTCCAATAAAGTCTGTCCTTTTTTAAAGCGAAAAATCTTTTGAGTTTTGATTATTACATTTCTTTCTAAAAATGCTATTTTCTTGACCAAATCAAGAACATGTTTGTATTCACTTTCCGTTGATTACAGTACAATTTTCTTTGAAACAAATTTTCTAAAGCGATCGTATAATTAAGTATATGTAACTCTGTACGTAACACACAAATGTGAGAAAAAAAAAAAAAGGAATCAATGAATGATGAAAAAAATCAAGAAGATTTGTTTTGACAGCTTCAGCCGTTGCGGCACCGGCCTGAACCACGAGGTATATTGGTGCAACCGTTCCGACCCGAACCACCGACCGGACCTCTTTGCAGTGCCTGAAACATAAGCCTAATCTCATCGACGGTCTCAGGGAAAGGTCTCATGGCTTCAACTTGCGTAGCTTCCAAGAAAACTACGAAAATAACAATTAACGTAACTACAATCACCAATTGTTTCTTCATCATACAAAAGTTTTTTTTTTTTCTTCTTTTAATGAGAAACAAGAACAAAAAAAATTAGCTTTTTTATTGGTTAAGAGGACTTTCTTGTGTTTGTATGTTGTAATTAATTCGATCATGACTCTTATATATAGGTTTTTGAGATGTCGTTGTTTGACTTGTGCAAGTTTGGTCTCACTATGTTATGTTTATGTATACACACATACATATATGAACTTTGACTTTGACTTTAATATACAAAAGAATTCGTTTTCAACCTTTTGAACCAAAAAATGTATGATATATTGGAATAGAAAACTCACTTAGACACGGTTTGTCCAAGTCCACATGGGCTTTTTGTTAAAAATTAACAAGACTTGGCCCTAGCTGAGCTGACACACTCTAAACCAAAATCAGAATTCTGTTTAGACTGGTTTGATTTTGGTTTGGTATTTGGATGCTAATTTGAAATTTCTCTTATTGTGTGACATAAAGTGAAAATCGATTCCTTATGAAATAACCAGAAAACTGAAAGGAAGGTTTTACAAAAACCGAAACGCATAAACAATCAGAGATCCATGAAAATCTAGATGGATCATGTATTATTCTCCCATATTATCAACATATGAAATATAAAATTCTAGATCGAAAGGATAAATTTTGATTTGAAGTTGAACAAATTGCTTAAACATTTGCAATTTAATTTTAACTACACACAAACGAATGTTAAGGTTTCATGCAACTGATTTCGTTAAAGTTTCACATAACTAATTTTGTGAAAGTTTTGTGCAATTGATTTTATTATATTTCGCCAAAGTGATTGTCCTCCACTTAACGCTTACATATTCTTTCAAACAAATACAAAATTGTTGGCGGCAAATCTTTGAAATAATTCATTTATAGTTGCTAGTGGTCGTGCTATCATCACAATGAAATCTTTTCATTGCAGATGCTATCATCTAATGGGCTGAATTCTTGATCATCAGTAACCATTAAAAAATGCATCAACTTCTTCGACGTCATTCTGAGAGAGCGGGGAGAGTTGTGGCAGACAATGTCAAGCATGAATCTTGATAACACTATATCCGGTGTCTCTTTTTCTGGCAACAACTATTTTGGAGTTTTTCGATGATGACAAAAGAAAACATTTATATCATGTTACTATTAATACAATCGTATAAAATTTGCATCATTCAGTCTATCTTATGAAGATATTTTCGAGATTACAATCAGATTTTTGAATTTCATTGAGATAATTTTTGCATACGAATTTTTTAGAACTGGTATGTAAGCAAAGGAACATGTAAGATGCTTTATTTTTTTCTTGTTAAGATATTCATAGACTGAAAAAGATAACATGGGTTGAATTTCTTCAAAGCAGAAATCATTTTAGAAGCTAATAGGTTTGAATTACAAGGTTGTTTGGGGTCCATATTATCGAGATCCTATGACATGGTAATTCGAATTCATTTTCTACAAAAAAAAATATATAAAGAAGATTTTCAAATTATGCAAATTCTTCTACGATCATTTATTATTCTTTTATATGCTTATCTAAATAAATGGTACAAACTTAAACTGAAATCACAACTACGATGTCTAAAATATACCAAAATCACATTGAAATCTTAAAACTACTATACTAAAACCATATGAAATCCTAGATATGATGTCTAAAGTATTTTTGAAATCCAAACTACTATATTGAAATCATATGGAAATCACAGTTAAGAGGTTAAACACAACGTGTAAACTAAAACGAATTTCAAAGTCGCTTTTTTTATGCTACAATCGAGTTACAAGTTTATATAAACTAGTAAATTAGCGTTTATAAATGACAAATTTATCACATTTATTATCATTTTCATTAGGATAGTAAAAGTATAGAAGTATAAAATATGTTTGGAGGTAAAGGAACAATTGCTCCATATATTATCAAAGTTTTTGAAAAGTAAGTTGATTTTTCTTGGGCTTTAAATTTTAAATTCGTTATGTGTGTGTTTATAGATAGACCATGGTTTGTTTGACTTGGGAATTTTGGTCTCGTAGGATTTTCTTGAGATTTGACTTTTATTTGGAAAGAAACTCGGCCTCAAAACATTTGAAGTACACACACATACACACATATTGGAATTTAATCAAACATGTTATTTCACTACTCGGTTCGCCTTACACCACGAGTTCTTATTCACACGAGAACCGGAATATTTTTTGAAAACCAAATCACAATCCCGGTTTAAGTCTGTTGGATCCAAGAATATTTTTTTTTGATCAAACCGATTAGTATTACCATCTTAATCTCCATATAGGAGCAATGTTTCAAGATACAATACCAAATTTAGCTAACGCATCGGCTAAAATATTTTCTGAGCGAAGAATAAAAACAAAAGAGAGAAACAAAATTCTCCCTAAGACATTGAATATCGTATAGGATAGATTTCAACTCGTTAATCACACTCTTCGTGTTGAGGAGTGTAACTAGCGAGAGAGAACCCGATCGAGAAGCAGTTAAAGACTCGGAAACCCGCGTTTGTAGCTGCAATTAAGGCAGCTTTTATAGCGAGGGACTCTCCGACAAGAGTCGAGGCCACATTCGACCTGGAAGAAGAGGATTGGGCTATTGTCTCTAGATTTGTATCCTTTAAACACCAGCCTATACCGCATTCCCGTGAAGCATCTATCCAAGAGGTGTCGGTGAAACAATGGACAGCTTGTGATGGTAAAACCAGTGACCTAGAGCCAGGTTGTGGAGGTCGGTTTTTATCAACCAGCAGCTGCGCATCTTGCCATGATCGGGCATCTTTGACTGTTGATCCTAGATATATAGTATATTTACTTGTGAGTAATGAGTATTGAACTATTGATCCACAACATTGACCAAAAGAACAGAACTACTATTTCATGATTCATCAATAAGGCTGGTTAGACCATGATTAACCATGAAATCATGGTCTCATAAGCCCAGTATCATAGCCCAAAAAACAATAAAATATTCAGATTTGAGTATCANCCCAAATAAAACGTCTCAGCCCACTGAGACTTTTGNTGGGTCTCAAGNAGACACGTGTCGTGTCTTCACTGGACCTTCCGAGATTTCGTCGCCTGGAAGCAGAGAAGGAAAAAAAAATTTCATTTTCTCCATCGCATAGTTTTCTCCGCTTGGGAGAGAAAACGCAGGCGATTCCATCGCCTAGAAGTAAATC